AAAAACTTCCCAGCACACGTGGAATAAAATCCAGCTCTGCATTCCTCTCCAACCTCACTCAGGTCCTTCAACATTCCCCTCATTCATCATTCTCCAGTCACACTAATCTCCTGTTCCTCAAACCCAGCAAGGAAAGCTTCCACCTTGGGCTTTGTCACCTTCACACCATCTAAGAGGTATGTTCTGTTGTCCTGTTTCTGTCACCTGTAGATGAAGAGGTGAAGCCTCATAGAAATGAATTATGTTGCCCAAGGTAGCAGAGTCAGAGTGGGAATATAGGTTCATCTGGCTCCTCAGCTGTTCATCTGCCCCCACCTTACCCAGATGCCTAACATTCATGCATACATTAAAAATAATTTTTATTTAGCACCTACTAAGGCCAAGCACTGTTATTGGGATAGAGTCCTTTCCCTCACTGAGCTGTACATTCTAGTGAGAAACGCAGATAGTAAACCAAGTAAATAAGTATGCAATGTAACATTAGAGTGACATGAAAAAAATAAAGGCAGAGGACTGTGAGGGTGGGGTACAATTTTGGCTAGGTGGTCAGGGAAAACTTCTCTGAGGAGTGTTAATGTGAGCAGAGACCTGAACCTACACTCAGGTCTATCTGAAGGATGAATATTACGAAGGACATTCTAGAAAATTCATATAAAGGGAATAGGCTGGGCGCTTTATATTTATATATAAATATAAATATTTATATTAGGCCGGGCGCGGTGGCTCAAGCCTGTAATCCCAGCACTGTGGGAGGCCGAGGCGGGTGGATCACGAGGTCAAGAGATCAAGACCATCCTGGTCAACATGGTGAAACCCCGTCTCTACTAAAAATACAAAAAATTAGCTGGGCATGGTGGCATGTGCCTGTAATCCCGGCTACTCGGGAGGCTGAGGCAGGAGAATTGCCTAAACCCAGGAGGCGGAGGTTGCGGTGAGCCGAGATCGCGCCATTGCACTCCAGCCTGGGCAACAAGAGCGAAACTCCATCTCAAAAAAAAAAAAAAAAAAATTTATATTTATATATTTATATTTATAAATATATATTTATATTAATATTATATTTATATTTATATTTATATTTATATTTATATTTATATTTATATTTATATTGCAGGCTCACACCTGCAATCCCAGCACTTTGGGAGGCCGAGATGGGTGGATCACAAGGTCAGGAGATCAAGACCATCCTGGCTAACAAGGTGAAATCCCATGTCTACTAAAAAAACAAAAAATTAGCCGGGCATGGTGGCACATGCCTATAGTCCCAGGTACTCAGGAATCTGAGGCAGGAGAATCGCTTGAACCTGTGAGGCAGAGGTTGCAGTAAGCCAAGATCATGCCACTGCACTCCAGCCTGGGTGACAGAGCAAGACTCTATCTCAAAAAACAAAAGAAAAGGAAAATTTATATAAAGGGAATAATATAATAATATGTGGTCTTTTGTGACTACTTTCTTTCACTTAGCACAATATTTTTAAGGCTCATCCATGTCATGACATGTATCAGTACTTCATTCCTTTTTAGGGCCAAATAATATTCCACTGTATGGATATACAGTAGTCCCCCCATAGCCTTGTTTCACTTTCTGTGGTTTCAGTTACAAAAGTAGGTGAGTACAGCACAAGATACTTTGAGAGACCACATTCATAACTTTTATTACAGTGTATTTTTATAACTGTTCTATTAGTATTATTGTTAATCTCTTACTCTGCCCAATTTATAAATTAAACTTTATTATAGCTATATATGTATAGGAGAAAATAGTATATATAGGGTTTGGTAGTATCTGTGGTTCCACGAATCCACTGGGGATCTTGGAATATAACCTCCTCAGATAAGGAGGAGACTACCACATTTTGTTTATCAGTTCATCAAATGATGAACATTTAGATTGTTTCCACCTTATGGCTATTATAAATAATGCTGCTGTAAACATTCATGTACAAGTTTTCATGTGGACATGTTTTTATTTTTCTTGGGTATCTAGCTAGGAGTGGAATTTCTGAGTCATATGATAATTCTGATTAATCATTTGAGGAACTGCCAGACTATTTTCAAAAGTGGCTTCACCATTATACATTCCCACAAGTAGATATGAGGATTCTGATTGCTCCAAATATTCACCCATATTGGTTATTATCTGACTTTTTGATTCAAGCCACCTTAATGAATGTGAAGTGCTATCAATTTCATCATGGTTTTGATTTGCATTTCTCTCATGACTAATGATGTTGAACATCTTTTCATGTGCTTTTTGGGCATTTATATATCATCCTTGGAGAAATGGCCACTCAGATCCTTTGCTCATTTTTTAATTGGACCATTTGCCTTTTATTATTGAGTTGTAAGAATTCTTTCTACATTGCAGATACAAGTTCTTTGCCAGATATGTGATTTATACACATTTTCTCCCATTCTGGTTTTTTTTTTTTTTTTTTTTTTGAGACAGAGTCTCTCCCCATCACCCAGGCTGGAGTGCCATGATGCAATCACAGCTCACTACGGCCTTGACCTCCTGTGTTCAAGTGATTCTCCCACCTCAGCCTTTTGAGTAGCAAGGACTACAGTTCCATGACACCACCCTGGCTAATTTTTGTATTTTTTTTTGTAGGGACAGGGTTTTGCCCTGTTGCCCAGGCTAATCTTGAACTCCTGGGTTCAAGCATTCCACCCTCCTTAGCCTCCCAAACTGCTGGGATTACAGGCATGAGCCACCATGCCTGTCCTTTTCACTTTCTTGATAATATCCTGTACAAAAGTTTTTAATTTGGATGAAGGCTAATTTATCTTTTTGTTATCATTGTTGCTCATGTTTTTGGTGCAATAAGAAAAATCTTTTTTGCCAAATCTATGATCATGAAGATTTGCCCCTTTGTTTTTTTCTAATAGTTTTATAAGTTTAGCTCTTACATTTAGATTTTTTATATATTTTTAGTTAATATTTTATATATGGTATAAGGTAGAGTCAAACTTAATTCTTTTGTAAGTAGATATACAGTTGTTTCAGCATCATTTGTTAAAAAGACTCTTCTTTCCCCCACTGAATAATCTTGGCACCCTGGTGGAAAATCAGTTGACCATGGACACATGGTTTTATTTCTAGACTTCCAATTCTATTCCATTGATCTATATGAGTATCCTTATGCCAGTATTACACTATCCTGATTACCATTTGCTTTATATTAAGTTTTGAAGTCAGAAAGTATGAATCCTCCTCCTTTTTCTTTTTCGAGATTGTTTTGGCTATTCTCGATCCCTTGTAACTCAAATTAGTTTGCCAATTTCTACAAATAAGGAAAAAAGGATCATGAATTCAGAGCAGGGGATTAAACAGGGAATTCACTTGGCCTTTACTTGATAAAATGGTCCCAAGTTTCAGTCTAGATCAAAATTGGGCAAAATTTTTAAAAATATGTTTAAGACTAGTTATTTTCCAATACATTTTTTGTTAAGGACCAGAGAGCATTTTAGAGTTGGCAAGCCATTTGGACTCTGTTGCAGTTACTGAGCTTTACCACGTAGCATGGAAGCAGCTATAGACAATACCTAGCAAATGAGTGTGGTTGGGTTCCAATAAAATGGTATTTATGTATACAAACATATGTCACAAGATATTATTCTTTAAATTCTTTGCAACCCTTTAAAATGTAAAGACTATTCTCAGCTCAAGGCCACACAAAAACATGTGATCAGCAAGGGTTGACATTTAGGCTGTAGTTTGCCAACTTCTGATATAGACCATTAGATTTCTGTGTCTAGATTCAAGGTCACAGCCTCAGTTGGGAATTCATAATTAATAGTTTTGACCTGCATTACTTCCTTGGCTTATCTCTGGGCTTACTAAATAAATGCAGTCAAAATTCATGTCTTTGCCCTCATTTTAAAAACACACACATATACGTTCACACCTGTATCAATCTGGGTTTGACAAGGAGACAGAAACCATACAGTAATTTAAAGACTTATTTTGCCAGGCATGGTGGCTCACCCCTGTAATCTCAGCACCTTGGGAGACTGAGATGGGCAGATCACCTGAGGTCAGGAGTTCCAGACCAGTTTGGCCAACATGGTAAAACCCCATCTCTACTAAAAATACAAAAATTAGCTGGGCATGGTAGCAGGCGCCTATAATTCCAGCTACTCAGGAGGCTGAGGCAGGGAGAATCACTTGAACCCAGGAAGCAGAGATTGCAGTGAGCCAAGACATTGAACTCCAGCCTAGGCAACAGAGAAAACTTCGCCTCAAAAAAAAAAAAAAAAATTTTGCAAAGATAAATATAAATACTAAGAAAAAAAAAATCCCACAGCTGAGGGGGATTACCCAAGGATAAACTTGGAAGGAGGATTCCGTACCCAAGGCTAGGGTTCAGTCCTTATTGGAGATGTGGTTGCAGCCTACTGGACAGCAGAAAAGTTTTGAGGGGGAAGGTTGTGCAGGCCAGAGTTGGTCCACAGTCACCAGGCAAACAGGAATAACCCTTTGGGGCATAGGCAAGCCTTTTTTATTCCATCTGATTCCAAGAAGTAGAAAAAAGGGTTAACAGTTATTGCCATCTTCGCTCACATACAGAGTACACGGTGGAGTCAAGACATCTCCTGAAAACCCCTCAGAGGTGAATGAGGTAGTGACTTGGGGTGGTAAGATAGTCCTCTTAAGTCAGCTGAAGAGGGGCATCGGATGAAGCTCCACCCACAAGGCCTGCCCACACAGGTCTTCTCCCTGAGTGTGTCCTCCTCTAGTACAAGATGAGGTTTAACTTATTGCTAGTGTGTTTCACATTTTCCCTCCTCACCCATGTAAAGTTTGTCCCCAAAAAAGCTGTTCTTTGAAGAGGTGCACCTTTTTCCTAAGTCCTTGTCCATTCTCCCCACACATGCGGAGGTATTTCTATTCTATATACTCTGGGGTTTAGTGAAGGGTCACTCATGGCTGAAGCCTTATCCACATTCCTTATATACCTAACATGTCTTAGAATCAATTCTCTGGAGAGACAATGAGATGGAAAATTGAGGATTCATTGGGGAGTAAGGGCAGGACTGGGCAGAGGAAGAGGCTGACCTGCAATGTGTCTGCAACCCAGTGATCCTTCAGTTCGACTGGGACCTCCGGATCTGGAATGACCTTCTGGAGTTGTCCCAGTTGAGTCAAGCGTGGGGCCAGGAGCTACCCCTGCGAAGATGCATACCCCCAGAGTGTGCAGCTCCCTGTGGCTGAGAGCGAGTTCCAGAGTGGAGGGCATCTCTGCCAGCAGCAACACTGTTCTCTCAGGCAGCTGAGCTGTTAGCCGTGAAAAGGTCATCTCAGCAGAGCTCCAGTGTCCCCACATGCCAATTCTCCCTGTGGTGTGTGATCACAAATGCTTTGCCCGGACACCCTGCAGCAAAGACCTCCTTCCTGAGGGTCATCTTATGCCTGACTGTCCATTCTTTTGCTCACCAACACTCCCCAGACAATGGTGCTTCCCCTGAGGCTGTCATTGGATGTTTGGTAAATGTTGATTATTGCTAAAGCCTTACCCACGGTCACTACACAAATGAAACTTCTCTCCTCAGTGTATCCTCTGTGCACACTCTATACTCATAAGGCTCCTCTCTTGAACGTGTCCCTCCCATGCCAGATAAGGGTCGACACATCTCTGGAACTTCACTCACATTCTGCATACACAGGGTCTATTCCCCACGTGTCTCTCGGGTAACATGAGGCTTGACTGATCACTCAAGTCTTGCCCATGACCGCTGCATACATAGTTTCTCCCATCAGTGTGTCCTCTGGTGCCTGATGAAATTCGACTTACACTAAAGCCTCGCCCGCACTCCCTACAAACGTAATGCTTCTCCCCTGAGTGTGTCCTCTGGTGGACAAGGAGGAGTGATTTCTGGCTAAAGCCTCGGCAACACTCGCTGCACACGTAAGGCTTCTCTCCTGAGTGTGTCCTCTCATGTACAATAAGGGTTGACTTGTCACAAAAGCTTCACCCACATTACCTGCAAATACAAGGCTTCTCATTTGTGTGTGTCCTCTGATATCTGGTGAGATTTGACTTCTGGCCAAAACCTCACCCACACTCCCTGCAAACATCATGCTTTTCCCCCGAGTGTGTCCTCTGGTGGACAGCGAGGAATGATTTCCGACTAAAGCCTCATCCACACTCACCACACACATAAGGCTTCTCTTCAGAGTGCGTCCGCTTGTGTATCATGAGGGTTGACTTGTCGCAGAAGCCTCTCCCACACTCCCTGCAAACATAAGTCTTCTCATCTGAGTGTGTCCTCTGGTGTTTGATGAGATCTGAGTTCTGGCTAAAGCCTCACCCATACTCCCCGCAAATTTAAGGCCTCTCCCCTGAGTGAATCCCCTGGTGTTTTCTGAGGGTTGACTTATCACAAAAACCTCATCCACACTCTAGGCACACATAGGGTTTCTCACCTGAGTGTGTCCTCTGGTGTCTGATGAAGGATGACTTCTCGCTAAAGCCTCGGCCACACTCGCTGCAAACATAGGGCTTCTCCTCTGAGTGAGTCCACTGATGTCTATTGAGGATGGACTTATTTCTAAAGCTTTGCCCACACTCCCTGCACAAATAAGGCTTCTCTTCTGAATGTGTTATCTGGGGTCTGTTGAGGTTATACTTCTGGCTAAAACCTTACCCACACTCACTGCACACATAAGGCTTCTCCATCGAGTGTGTCCAATGGTGTCCGATGAGGGTTGATCCATCTTTAAAGCCTCACCCACAATCACTGCAAATGTAGGGCTTCTCCCCTAAGAGGGTTCTTGGATTTGTAATAAAGTTTGATTCCAGGCTATGGTCTGGTTCACACTCTCTACAGTTGATTGCTCCAAATCTCAAGGTTTCTAATTCCTTCAAGTCTTTGGCTGCACAGGGTTTGTTCTTTGGGCTGAGCTGGGCTCTATTTCTACCACCATGTTGCCTTCTCTAGGACTTGCTGACTGTCTTTGGAGTAGGCTGGGGAATGCCCTTGAGGTTTCTCTCTCCTCTGTCCTTGCAGACCAGGGTTTGGAGCCACCTCCTCTCTCCTGATCTTCTGTGTTTTCATTCCAGCAGCTTTGATGGGGATACTGCTGCCCCTGCTGTTTCCAGTGCCCTGGGCTAGAATTCCCTGGATGGAAGTGATTTTCTGCACGTAAGCCCAGGAAGATCTGAAGCACATGTTGGCTGAGGAATTGCTGAAAAGAGAAGGCCAGAAGGCAGGAGGAACAAGGGTAGATTTCTGGCTTTGGCTCTGCTAAAGAAATAAAGTTTTCAGTTAGAGTACCGTAAGTAGGGCTGCTGGGCTCCTCTCCCTTGTCTTAGGACAGAGAATGTTTTGCTGCCATGCCTGTAATTGATAGTATAAATACAACACAATTTGCTTCTGAGCAATGATTCCTTTACATTCCATCACATTTTCTATTGCAATCCAAAAAATCCACAACAAAAACATCTTGGGACCAGGAACCTCTCAAGTGAGTATTCTGTTCTGTAAATAGCTTTAATTATACTTAGCCTTCTCCTTCTTCTAAAATCTTCTAAGCCATAGACATTCACATTGGTATATACTGTCCACAACTCTGTTCTGCTTGGAGATAATGGTCTCTATGACACGTGGAAATCTCCTTCATGACTGTTCTTATTATATAAAAAAAGAGTCTGATAGGCATAAAAAGTCCCTCAGTATGGAGGGTTTCAAATGCAGGCGAAAGTGTATGGAATACTTATTAAAGAAATTATAGTATATAAAACAAATATAAATTTCAGGCTGCCCACCTGTAAACAAAGACTTCTTAGAAAACGTCAAAGTACTAGGTTCTCTATTAAGTATTATGAATTCAGCAATGAACAAGAAAGACGTGGTCCATTTTAGGACTGTGACAACAAACCAAAACAACAAAATCTGCCTTTCTTTCTACTTTTCATAAATTAGTAAAAAGACAAATTTTTCATTTACAGCAGCACCTGCCTACAAAATATCAAAACTAGATGTTGCCTTTCATCACAACTAGATCTATCCAATTGATGCTAAGAAATAACCTCCTTGGCCCCAGACCCTGCTGCGCCTGATTGGAGACTTCTGCCTAACTAATGAACGCTGGAGTCTTTATACTCACCTCTGTCTGTCCCTACAAACTCATTTTATCCTATCCAGAATGCTAGTTTTCAAAACTTTATTAGGAAAAACATCATGAAACTGCTCTCTAACAGTAAAACATTTTACTTTTTCCCCCTCACCAAACTATACAGTGAATTTCTTCATTGCTGTGTCTCCTTGTCTCTTATGCAAAGGATTTGTGCCTTTTGATTTTTTGACCTTTTGTGTTCTTTGTTTTAGTTTCTGACAATGTGTTTTCCCTTTGGTTGCTTTCTGTGCATAGACTGAGCTGTATGTGCTCAAAGCTGTTTGTCTGGCAGCCTTGCCATGGGTGAGGCTCTCAGTAACTGTTAGGCTCTGTTTGCTGTCACTGAACACTCCCTGAGCTTATTTGGTTTACTTGGGTTCTTAAAGTAACTCATTATTTGTTTCTATTTCTGGCCAATCACCTCTTACAAGACTTGTGGTCATTCTAGTATCTTGTGACATGAACTTTTAGTCTTGATACTTTGACCGTGACTTGCTGCCATCTTTCTGGTTTATCTAGAAGCATACCAGGTCATTCAGACCACAGTCTGAATATATAGATGGTATATAGCACTGATGTAACACCCTACATCACTGAGAAGTATTTCAGTAGAAGAAGAAATCTCATTTGTGTCTATTTTGTGTTAAACACAGGAGCCAAAAGCTCATTACACTTAACACCCTGTTAAGTAGGCCCCATGTGTACTCATTATGATTCTAATCCCTATGCCTTACTAGGAAAGTGTCACCATTCACTAAAGATAATTTAGATTTAAAGAGGCCATTCTGAGGAACTCTGCTTTCTATCATGCCCCTTTGCTATATAATAATTCAGTATATATTTCTAAAGAACTATATAGTTAAGAGATCTGGCTTACATCATCAATACATTTACTCATTTGCTTAATCTTAAAATGCAAGGAATAAGGCTGGGCACAGTGGCTCACACCTGTAATCTCAGAACTTTGAGAGGCTGAGGCAGGCGGATCACCTGAGGTCGGGAGTTTGAGACCAGCCTAACCAATGTGGAGAAACCGCATCTCTACTAAAAATACAAAATTAGCCGGGCATGGTGGCACATGTATGTAATCCCAGCTACTCAAGAGACTGAGGCAGGAGAATCACTTAAACCCAGGAGGCAGAGGTTGCAGTGAGTCGAGGTCATGCCATTGCACTCCAGCCTGGGCAACAAGAGCAAAACTTCATCTCAAAAAAAAAAAAAAAAAAAAAAAAAAAGCAAGGAATATAGTTTCAAAATTGTTGACCCAATAACCTTATAAAATATATACAAAATATAGTCCATTTAGTTCAAGATTGGTTGCAGTTCTTCTTTGTGAACAGAGAAGGAGTTGGCCAATTTTTTTCTGTAAAGAACCAAAGAGTAGCATGGTGGCTCATACCTGTAATATCAGCACTTTGGGAGGCTGAGGCGGGTGGATCACGAGGTCAGGAGTTCAAGACCAGCCTGACCAACATGGTGAAACCCCATCTTTAAAAACTAAATAAATAATAAAAATTTAAAAAAAAGAGATCCAAAGAGTAAATATTTTAGGCTTTGTAGGTGACATGGTGTCTATCATGACTGCTTAACTCTGACAATGTATAACAAAAGCAGCTATAAATAATTCATTGTTCCAAAAAAACTTTATTTACAAAAACAGGCAGTGAGAGAGATTTGGCCTGTAGACCCTAGGTTTGCCAGCTCTCACTTTACTATGGAGTATGGTCAAAGCTCTCTGTTAACTGGGTTGTTTTCACATTACCTGTGGTCGTATTATTATTTTGGAAAATAGGTAGATTTTTTTCTCTTTGTATTCCAGTTTAGGGATTTTCCCTCTTTGTTGATTTGATGTAATGTAAAACATTAATATGCTCTAAAAGTGCAAAACTATTCAGAAAGGTCTTCTCAGAGAGGACATGCCTCTCCTTTCCATAGCCTTCCAGCCAAATTCCACATATAACGTCACAGCTAACCAATCTCATTCGTTTCTGGTTTATTAACCCTGTGATATTTTGTGGGGAAAAAAAAAGAAGAAACATATGGATATGCTCATAATTTCTCAGAATTTACTCCCTATCAGTTCAGAGGAGCTCTTCCTCATTCTGGAAGGATGTACCATAACTTCTTCAACCAATTGACTACATAAGAGCAATTAGGTTACTCTAATGTTTTATATAGAAACAATGCTATAGTGAATCACCTTGTGCAAATGTAATAACTTTGGAGATGAATCTTCAGGGTAAATTCTTCTAGGTAGGAATGCCAGATCAAAGCACAGGCACATATAGTTTTGTTACATATTGCCAAATTTCCCTCCATAATGGCTGCAGCATTTCTGCATAGCCATCTACAGTGTATAATGTTGCCTATATCCCTCAGCTTTGTCAAGTATTTTGTCAACCCTTGAAATGTTGCAAATGATACATTAAGAATGGTGTGTAGCTTTAATTTGCACTTATCTAATTAGAAGTGAAGTTAAACACCTTTTCAAACATTTAAGGGCCAATGTTATATTTTATTTTGTGAACTGTCTATTTAGGTATTTTGCCTATTTTCTTCCTATCTGGTTTTATGGTTCTTCTTAAATTTTAAGATTCATTCTATATTATGGAAAATAACTCTTCATATGTGATATACTGTCTGTGACAAATAGTTCCTGGAAATTTGACCTTTCTTTTGACTTTGTTTACAGTATCCAACATATCACTCTTCTCCTCTAGGCATCTGAATTTTTAGCCAAATTTAGAAAACCTTTTCCTATGTCCAGGTGATAGAATATTTACCCCCATTCTATCCTAGTATGTTTACGGTTTAATTTTTTACATTTAGAGCTCAAGTCATATAGGATTTTTTTTGTGTATAGTGTGTGGTATATGGTCCAATGTTTTTTCAAATGGAAATGGATATCTAGTTACCCAACACCATTTATTAAAATGTCCATCTTTACTCCGGGGATTTGAGATGCTACCTTCATCGCATACCAAAGTTCCATAAGTTCTTGGGTTGACTTCTTAACCTTCTCCTTGATTCCGCTGGTCTATTTGTCTAGTCGTGGGCCAGCACCACAATGTTTTCTTTCTTTATTTTCTCCTTGCAGCTTTAACTCAAAGGACACATTTTAATTCTAAAGGTTTTTGTAGTATATTTTAGTGTCTGATAAGGATAGTATTCTGTTATGGCTTTTATTTTTCAAAAAGTGCCTTCTTGACAGTTTTCCACATTTATTTTTCCATGTGAATTTCACAAAAGAGCTTGTTACTACTTTTTTATTGGTATATGTTAACTTTATGAATTACCTTAGGGATAACTGACAACCTGATTTTAATCTATAAAAATATTTTTTGAGGGCAGGCATGGCTCACACCTGTAATCCCAGCACTTCAGGACGCCCACATAGGTGGATCACTTTAGACCAGGAGCTTGAGACCAGCCTGGGCAACATGGCAAAACCCTGTCTCTACTAAATATACAAACAGTTAGCTGGCATGGTAGCATGTACCTGTAGTCCCAGCTACTAGGACGACTGAGGTGGAGAATCACCTGAGCCCAGGAAGTCGAGGCTGCAGTGAGCTATGATCATGCCACTGCACTCCAACCTGGATGATAGATGTGAGACTCTTGTCTCAAAAAAAAAAACTAAAAAAAAATTTATATATAATACATATTATTTATATTTATATATTATTTTATGTATTTATTATAAAAATGTATTTATATATATGTAAAATATATTTCTTTGATTAAAAATAATATATATATATTATTTTTATATTTATATAATATATATATTTATCTAATATATATAAAATATATATATTATTTTTAATCAAAGAAATTTTAACATAGATTTGGTATTAGATGACGCCATTAACTTTGTTAAATATAGTAGTGGTATTGTGGTTATGTAAAAATCCATTTTTAATTTTTAGAGAAATGTGGTATATTTAAGGGTGTCATGGTATTTTGAATTAACTTTAAAATAATTTGGCCAGAAAGGGAGAAGGGAATGATAATACAAGCAGGTAATATGTTAATAACTATTAGATTTAATAACTATTTATTAAATTAATAACCATTAAATTTAATAACTATTAAATCTAGATAATTCATGTTCCTCCTTGACCTATCAGCCCTGCGAACACTTATTTCTAAGATACAACTTAAGCTCCCTTCTTGCAGTAAACTGTATCTTGGTCACAATATCTGCTGTTCCTCCCCACGGAGCCCGTCTCTGAAGAAAGATTATCTTTCCCACCACAATGACATCAGATTTGGCTTTGGCCAATGAAGGTTAGTGGGAAGTTAGTACACTTTCAAACAAGTTTTAAGAGCTACCATGTGGTCCCATCATTGCTCTTTTTCCCTATACCTTGAGAACCCCATGATCCAGATAGAAACTGCTCCTTTTGCTTGGATCCCAAAACCAATAGAGTTGAACCACACCTGAAGTAACCAAGAGAAAATCTAAGTGAGAAATGAACATTTGCTATTATAAGCCACTAAAGTATAGAGGTTGTTTATCACAATATTAGCTGGTCTAAGCTTCCTAAATTATCTTCCCTGTGAAGGCTTTAAAGATTATTTCAGAAAGAATTGGCCCATTTATTTCTAACAATGCCCTTGAAGAAAAGACATTAACATGAATATGTGAAGAAAGAGAGAAAAAGAGACTCAGGCAGGGCACCATGGCTCACACCTGTAATCCCAGCACTCTGGGAGACAAGGGTGGCCAGATTGCTTGAACCCAGGAGTTCAAGACCAGCCTGGACAACATGGCAAAACCTTGTCTCAAAAAAAAGAAATAAAATAAGGAAAGAAAAGCGGAAAGGAGAAAGAAAGAAAGAGACTGTTAGAAAGAAAAATAATATGCTCTCAAGAAAACTTTGAGAATAAACTTGTGGTTGCAGGCAAGGAGAAATATGGGAACGAAGCACAGGTGAGACAGTGACAGATAATGGGTTTGTTATAATGTGTGATGGGGGAAATTTGTTAAAGTTCACAAATTGCTAAAAGGTATGAATATAAACACAGAAAAGGAGTATGTGACACTAACTCCTACGGACCCCTGCAGTCCAAAGAAAAGAAAAAGAAGAGAATAGCCCAAAAGAGAGATGTAAGAGGCTGGAGACTGCAGAACATTACGGTGTCAAGCAAGACAAAAGAAACAATTTCAAGGAATGCTATTGGCATCCAGATTTTCAATATCAAGATTAATTTAAACTAGGTCATTTTTTTGTTTGTTTGATGTTTTTTGAGTTTTTTTGAGATGGAGTTTTGCTCTTGTTTCCCAGGCTGGAGTGCAATGGCACGATCTTGGCTCACTACAACCTCTGCCTCCTGGATTCAAGTGAATCTCCTGCCTCAGCCTCCGGAGTAGCTGGGATTACAGGTGCCCACCACCACACTCGGCTATGAACCAGGTCATTGTCCTCTGAATCAGTTATATAGGTATTAACAGTGGGAGAGAAAACAGTATGACCAGAGAAAAATAAAAATAAAAACAAAACCTAGTTGGACTAACTAGTTAAGGCCAAATCAAAACACGCAAAACCATTTACGAAAATAATAAATCTTTTTTTTTTTAAAGGAAAAACACAGCCCACACAGAACCAGTCTGAAATGGATGAATCTATACTAATTTAGATGGAGCCAGGTCAGATGGGCGCTAGTTCAAACCAGAGGGAATAAGATCAAAACACATCAAAGAAGATGAAAATGGAAAAAAGTAAACCTGATTAAATATATCAGGAAAACAGCCATGCCATTTGGAGGAAACTCCCAAAGAAGCCCCTGCCTGAAACTGGTTTGTGTCTCTAAAAATGTAATTCTTCTCTACATGTTTTATCTAGAAATATGGGAATACCTAGAACAGTACAATCCAGTACAGCAGCCACTGGCCATGTGTTTATTGAGCACTTGAAACATGGCTAATCTGAACTAAGATGTACTCTAAGTGTAAAATACACACTGGGTTTTGAAGACAGTCCAAAAAATAAGTAAAATACCTAATTAACAAGTTTTGTTAATTTCATGTTAAAATGATACTTTAATATATTGTATTAAATAATATATATATTCTTAAAGTTGATTTGACCTATAGATTTACTTTTAAAAATATAGTTGCTAAGAAATTTTAAACTACCTATGTGGCTCACATTATATTGCTACTAGACAGCACTGATGTAGAACAAGGAGTGGAAAATGACTGCCCACAAGCTAAATCCAGTCCTTTTTTTATCACCTACAAGCTAAGAATGGTTTTTACATTTTTAAATGCCTAGAAAAAAGTAAAAATAGTAATATTTCATGATACATAAACATATGAAATTCAAATTTCAGTGTGCATAAAGGAAGTTTTACTGGAACATAGCCATGCTCATCTATTTACATATCATTTATGGGTGCAACTCAATGGCAAGTTAAGGGTTGTTACAGAGGCCTTATCACCTTTAAAAACAATTCTTGGCCGGGCGCGGTGGCTCAAGCCTGTAATCCCAGCACTTTGGGAGGCCGAGGCGGGTGAATCACGAGGTCAAGAGATCGAGACCATCCTGGTCAACATGGTGAAACCCCGTCTCTACTAAAAATACAAAAACATTAGCTGAGCATGGTGGCACGTGCCTGTAATCCCAGGCACTCAGGAGGCTGAGGCAGGAGAATTGCCTGAACCCAGGAGGCGGAGGTTGCGGTGAGCCGAGATCGCGCCATTGCACTCCAGCCTGGGTAACAAGAGTGAAACTCCGTCTCAAAAAAAAAAAAAAAAAAAAAAACAATTCTTGTATGGCCCTTTACAGAAAACGTTGGCCAATCCCTGATCTAGAGTTATGTTGCAATTGATAACATTTATCAACCCAGATTTAAATAATCATTTTAAGTTTATAAACAAATGAAAATGAAAAAAATATGGTTTATGAAACCCCCAAACCACAATAAACTTGACTCTTAATTTTAACTTGTGTCACAGAGATGCATCTCTCCCTTGTCTGCCCCTTGCAAACGATGCCCCAGCCTCACTGGCCTCCTTGCAGTTTCATATACTGGGCAGGTACATCCCCTCACGAAAGTCTTCACGTCAGTAATTCCCTCCACCTGAAATGCCCTTGCCCTAGATACCAGAGTTCTAACCTCCTCACCATATTATGTCTTTAGCCAAATGTTACTTCACTGATTTCCAATACCCAGTTTTAAAATTCAACCAGCCACCCTATCACACCCAATACCCCTTTATCCTGCCTTATTTTACTATTTTTTGCTATGTTTCACTTATCACCTTTTAACATACCATATGATAATATCCCTGTATATAGAGCTTTTTGTTGTCTATCTCCTTACACTAGAAAGTAAGCCCCATGGAGGCAGGGATTACGATTTTGTTTACTAATGTGTTGTAAGTGTCTAGAACATTTTTTGTGGTACATAGTAGGTGATCAATAAATCTCTACTGAATTAATGAAGGAAAGGAAAGAACATAGCCTCACCCTATGAGAGAAGATTCCTTTAATTCTCCATCATCACTTCTCTGTATAGATTCCTCTGCTCTGGACTCAGTCTCTTCCATTCTGCTTCCGTGAAGTCACATCCCTGAATGTAACTGGTACCTACAAACAACCAGTAAATTAATGTATAGCAAGCCACCATCAATCTTCCCTGTGTGTAGAGCACAGCTGGTGGCCCTGGGGAACCTGGATATGCAAGTTGATGTAATTCGTCGGAGTACACGGTTCTCCATATGAAGTTCTTCTGAGCACTACTGCACGCCTGGCTTTCTGTTTTTTGTTTGTTTGTTTGTTTGAGATAGAGTTTTGTTCTTGTTGCCCAGGCTGGAGTGCAGTGGCGCAACCTTGGCTCACTACAACGTTTTCCTCCCATGTTCAAGCAATTCTCCAGCCTCAGACTCCTAAGTAGCTGAGATTACAGGCATGTGCCACCACACCCAGCTAATTTTTTGTATTTTTAGTAGAGACGAGGTTTCTCCATGTTGGTCACGCTGGTCTCAAACTCCTGATCTCAGGTGATCTGCCCCCCTCCGCCTCCCAAACTGCTGGGATTACATGCGTGAGCTACCACACCTAGTGCCTGGCTTTCTGTTAAAACCTGTGAGGAGCATAACTGAGCACAAAACACATTCTAGGCCCTTGACACATATAATTTCACTGGAGATATGATTTGTGAATTTGTTTGTAAACCTCAGGGAGTGTTTAGGACAGTGACCTTGAGGATTCATAAGGAAGGAATTCAGAGACGGAACAGCAGAGAATGGGCTGCAGAAGGAATAAACGCATCGTGGACTTGGCGCTAGTGCTGGGCAGTAGGGAGTGGTGAAGATTTAGAGGAGAAAATGGAAGAAAACTTTGATCACAGAGAAAAATGGAAATGAACAGATGGGGTCTGGAATGAGCATTTTTTAGAAGTTTAGGTTACTAAATGGGATCTGTAAAATCCTTGTCTTTGCTATATATTTTAACAACGTTTTTCAACAAAGCCTAATGCTTCACTCATCTACCCAGATGTTGACCACCTTTTCCCTTCCCAAGAAAGAGAATATACATCTGTTCTCTGCGAAATGAGCCAGCAATGCAGGAAAAAAAATGTAACCCCCAATTCACCACTATTTGGGCCTTTCCCTCCTTTTCCTGGGGCCAGTAAGTATCATTAGAAGGCAAGCCTAAGGGAAGAAAAAGAAGCCATGAGAAACCAGACCTCCTTCCATGACACTCCCTGAGCAGCTCTTCTGAGCCTTAGGAAGGAGTCACTTTACTCAGAGGTGACCTCTGAAGCATTCTTAGGTGAACCTGGAGTCTTGGCTCCCTCTTCATCTCTCCAGCCCCTCAACAATTCTCACCTGTTGCTTTATGATTTTGAGCCAATTTCTTCATGGTCTCTAAATTTTCCCCATTCGTTGAAAGGAAAATCTCCTCCCAGTCTTCATCTCCCAGTGCTGAAGGATAAGGCAACATCATGGCCCCAGAGTCAGCCCAGTGTGTGCCTTGAAATTCTGCCAGAGGTCCAGGTACATGTTATTTCATCTCAAGATGGATTCTGCTGCCTTCTTCCAACCTTAATTGTAAAAACCCGTCTTTTTTCCATGCAGCCAGGACCTGTGGGATGAAGAAGCAATGTGCTATTGCTGGGGCTTTTATTGTGGGCCCTAGGCCTATGCCTCTTCAACAGGGATCCTGTCCTCTCACACCTTCCTTATTCAACAAACATGGAGTCTCTGTCTATAGGGTTCCCTGGATTTTCTACCTTCATTCACTCTACCTTCATTTCTAGGCCCTCATGCTTATATTCCCTTAGCTCTCAAAATTTATTTCTTCTGCCTCTGCACCTCAGATTCAAACTCTATGTTTTGGATCAGTCTCTGCTACTACCTCAAGCCCGAATCAGAGAGAAGACAGAATATAACATAATGCCTGTGGAGAAAGAGCGCCTCTGAATGTTTCCTGCAGACCAATCAGTGCATGCAGAACTCAGCTTCTGACTCCCCTGCCCCGGCCCAAGTTTCCGTCTATATTCAATTCCCTATGTCTTGGATGGGCACAGTGGCTTACATCTGTAATGCCAGTACTTTGGGAGGCTAAAGCAAGTGGATTGCTTGAGCTCAGGGCTTCAAGACTAGTCTGGGCAACATGGCAAAAATACCATCTCTACAAAAAATACAAAAATTAGCTGGACATGGTGGTGTATGCCTATAGTCCCAGCTACTCAGCAGGCTCAGGTGGGAGGATCACCTGAGCTCGGGAAGTCAGGACTGCAATGAGCTGAGATCGTGCCACTGTACTCTAGTCTGGACGACAGGAGTGAGACCCTGTCTCAAAAAAAAAAAAAAAATCCTATATCCCTGTATTCTGAGGCATTTAGGAGATCAAAACTCAGTCCTTCTTACTTAAGGGAGAGAGCTCCAGGTCTCACAACTACTCTGAAGAGACAACCCCCCCACCCCAGCTTCCATTTTTATGCATGCCTACCACATGACCTTATCAGAGATGTACATTTGTGTATCCTGATGGGCCCAAGTCAAAGCCTTACACTGATGTGGTCCCAAAGAAGGCAGGTGGTATTAGGAGCTATGCCACCTTCAGAAGCTCCTCAGATGCTGTCTAAGATTTTACCCCAAATGACTACAGGCCTATTGTTGCCTAGTACCCTTCTGAGACTAGCTGGGGCCTCTAAGCAGCTCTTGTAATTCATCCCCCAACACCACAGGCAAAATGATCACTCCATCTTCTGTCAAACCTGGGCATCATACCATATTGCAATTTCTCTATTTATGTGACTGTCTTTACTAAACTATGATGCTTCTTGTAAGATGAAATGAATCTCAGTCTTTTTGCCAATCTAATTCTAGTGATAGGGATAAAAGAGGCCTTTGTGGTAGATTTTATCATCGTTCCCAATTACTTGTTGCTCTATAAAAGGACTGTACTTCCCCGTCCCAGACACCAGGCTTGACCTTGTAACTTGCCTTGGAAAATGAATGTGAGTGAAAGTGACAATGCCATTTCTAAGCACTGCATAAATCTGCCATTTCTCTTGTTCTCAGAACTATGTCCCCAAAGGGACTGTGATTCTATTGTAAAAGGTCATGGTACAGAGCTAAAGCCAGCATATAATACCTATGGTACAACATAGCTGAAGCTGACAAAGCCTTTCTCCTAGTAATACTAGTATCTGTAGCTAACATTTGTAAGGCAAGATCTGTACTAAGTACAGATTTTTTTTTTTTTTTGAGACAGAGTCTCGCTCTGTTGCCCAGGCTGGAGTGCAGTGGTGCAGTCTCAGGTTCAAATAATTCTCCTTCCTCAGCCTCCTGAGTAGCTGGGGTTACAGGCGGCTGCCACCATACACAGCTAATTTTTTGTACTTTTAGTAGAGACTGGGTTTCACCATGTTGGCCAGGCTGGTCTTGAACTCCTGACCTTGTGATCTACCAGCCTCGACCTCTCAAAGCATTGGGATTACAGGCGCAAGCAACTGGCCACTAAGTGCAGTTTCTGATAATCTTCACAACACAGCCAAGAGGTAGATGCTGCTATTCTTTCCATCTCACAAAGGAAGAAACCGGGGCACCAAGGGGCTGCTTTATTTGTCTTTAAGATTACACAGCTACCAAAAGTCAGAGCCTGGCCCAAGGTTGGGCTGAGTTATTCTATAATAATAACCTCCACACAATCTCAGTGACTTAATGTAATAAAGGTTTATTTCTCATCAGGCTCCATGACTATTATCTGTCAACTAATTCATCTTCACTCAAGGACTGGGGCTAATAGTGCAGCCCCTATTTGGAAAATGGCCAGTAGAAGTAGCAGAGGAAGACAAAAGATGGAGACCCATATACAAGTGCTTAAAAATTCTACCCAAAGAGACAATTCTGACCATAGCTCACTGGCAAATCAAGTCACCTGGTCACTCCTGAGTTCAACATGATAGGGTGTATACCTATAAGGAGTGGCCAAACAATGAGGATGAAGAGTGAAGCATGCTACTATAAGGACCCAAGCCCATAAACCCATTCTCACCTAGCCCTAGTCCCCACTATTGATTCAGCCTTCAAAGTAGAAAGATTTGTGGTTGTGCCTAGAAGACAAAAATGAAGGACATGGTCCCATCACTTGCCATACCATCACAGAACAAGCAGGGATGTTGTCCAGGAGGAACCTCATTCAGCACAGAAAGAACAGGATGCTCTCAGGGTGGATCCAAAGAATGAAAATGATGCTGCTATTTAGGCTATAAGATGAAGTCTGCCCGTCTATCCAGGAAGAAACACTCCAGATAGAGGACAGTCTGATCAAGGAAGGAGAAGGGGCTGGGTGCGGTGGCTCATCCTTATAATCCCAGTACTTTGGGATGCCGAGGCAGGTGAATCACCTGAGGTCAGGAGTTCGAGACCAGCCTGGCCAGCATGGAGAAACAGTCTCTACTAAAAATATAAAATTAGCCGGGTGTGGTGGCACATGCCTGCAATCCTTGCTACTCAGGAGGCTGAAGCGGGAGAATCACTTGAACGCGGGAGGCGGAGGTTGCGGTGAGCTGAGCTCACACCATTGCACTCCAGGTTGGGAAACAAGAGCAAAACTGTGTCTCAAAAAAAAAAAAAAAAAAGAAAGAAAGAAAGGAGAGGGGAAGTGGGGCACGGGGAAGGAGAGGAAGAGAAAGAGAAAGAGAGGGAGAAAAACAAAATGGATAATTTCTTAGGAGAATAAAAATTGCCTAAAATCAAACATAGGTGAAAAAAAAATGAACAAATTCTTAACCAGAGAAAAAAAGTGAAAAGGCAGCCAAAGATCTGCTCTACAAAAGGTATCAGCTTCACATAATTCTATTATCCAGTTCAAGCCAAACTTTGAGGAGCATGTAATTCCTGTAATAAATATTAAATCCCCAAAACATTTATTTAAATGATTCCTAACTCATTCATCAAGGACACCAAAAATAAAACACTACAAAAAAAGAAAGCTAAGGGTCAATTCCGTTTGTAAAAATAGATGCAAAAATCCTATGCATAAAACACTACCAAACTGAATCCAGCTGTACCTTAATGAAATAATAATATATCATACCAAGTAGACTTTATCCTAAGAATGACAGGACAGTTTCACATCAGAAAAGCTACTACAGGAGGGGAAACTTCCAATACTCTTTCATTAAACTGATCATCTGGAATACTTTTACCTAAGAAAAGGTGACTTAATTGTTCACATATCACTCTATGTGCTTCATCACATCTATCCATACAGATAGGCGAATATATGGACATTCAGTGTATTAAGAGCAAATTTTTCAACTTTTGTGTATGCATGAAAATGTCACAAAAAATGTTAAGGGAAAATCAGATCCAAAAAGACTTAAGTATTTGCAAAATACATGATGAGTCTAAAAAAGCAATTTATATCTGCTTATTGCTATTTCCCAGAGAAATCAATGTATCTGTCTTATTTTCATTCCAAAAGTAAATAAGTCTGTCTCTCACTACATTATAAGAGACTTCAGGGATGAAAAGTTATCTATGGCCATAAAGCAAGCATACGAAATCTGCAGCAAACAAACACTGCACGCACAACTTGCTGTATGAAATTCTATGTCTCAGCCACCTTCGTGGATATAATCTATTAGTTCCATTTGATGCTAACTGGGGTCTCAGAGACGGCAAATGATGTAAGTTACACAGTACATCCACATAAACTTCGCCTTACCCTTTTGTTTGCCAACTTCATTGTGACAAATTGATTTCCTTATAAAAATACAAATATTTGAAGTGCATAATCTTATCTAGAAGACTACTGAAATGTCCAGTTAATGAGATCTCCCATGTCCAGCTAACTGTTTGACATAACACATAAACATCCCAACTTTCTCTAAATTCTTGGTCAGTTATCTTTTTCTCAAGAGCTCTCCAGCTATTACATTATTTATTTGTTCCCAATGTCTATAACACAGATGTTTTAAAGTGCACTGTCCCTGTGTCAGGCAGGCATAAGATGACAACCCAAACTCGATAACTGAGGAGAGTTTAGTAAATGAACAATTTACAAAGGCACAGTCAGGGTTAGGTGAAACAAAAGGATGCTGCAGTCCCATGGATGGTCACAAGAGCAAAGGGTCTTTACCAACACCAGGTCTAAATGGAAGGGAGTAAGTTACCAGAACCAGGAGCTAGAACCATGTAGAAAGGACTGTTTGACAGAAGTTTTGGCCTTCGACAGAGGTGACCCAGCAAAGACAGAGCCAAGGGACCAAACACATAACAACAGAGGAGGGAACTCTGAAGCTAGATAAGGTATCTGAAAGAATTCTCCTAAAGCAAATGAGTAATTATCAGATATTCTAATTCTGTCAACCCTGTGAACTACAGCAGAATTTCTAGTATAGAATAAAGGAGATATAAATATGATATGTGATATGGTCCGGCTCTGTGTCCCTCCCCAAATCTCATGATGAATTGTAATCTCCAATAATGCAGGGGGAGCTGGTGGGAGGTCACTGGATCATGGGAACAGATTTCCCCATTGCTGTTCTCATGAGAGTGAGTTCTCACAAGATCTTGTTGTTTGAAAGCGTGTAGCACTTCTCCCTTCCCTCTGTCTTTCCTGCCACC